TTTTTCACAAGTTCAAGGAGTTGACTACGATGAGATTTTCTCATCCGTAGCGATGCTTAAAGTCCGTCGGAATCATGTTAGCACAAGCTGCATTTATGAAATCTGGCAGATGGATGTCAAAACGAGTTTCCTTACCAGTTTTCGTAAGGAAAGGTTGTATGTGATACAATCAGAAAGGTTTTGTCGATCCTAAGGATGCTAAAAGGTATGCTAGCACCAGCGATCCTTCTAAGGACTGGAGTAAGCATCTCGGAGTTGGAATGTGCGCTTTGATGAGATGATCAAAGATTTTGGGTTTATACAAAGTTCATGAGAAACTTGTATTTCCAAAGAAGTGAGTGGGAGCACTATAGAATTTCTGATGAGTATATGTTCTTGACATATTGTTGATCAGAAATGATGTAGAATTTCTGGAAAGCATATAGGGTTATTTGAAAGGTGTTTTTCAATAGAAAACCTGGATTAAGCTACTTGAACATTGAGCATCAAGATCTACGAGGATAGATCAAAAATGCTTAATAATACTTTCAAATGAGCACATACCTTGACATGATCTTGAAGGTGTTCAAGATGGATCAGTCAAAGAAGGAGTTCTTCCCTGAGATGTAAGGTATGAAGTTAAGACTTAAAGCTCGACCACGGCAGAAAAGAGAGAAAGGATGAAGGTCGTCCCCTATGCTTTAGACGTAGGCTCTACAGTATGCTATGCTAAGTACCGCACCGGTTGTGTGCCTTGCTACATATCTGGCAAGAGAGTACAAAGGTGATCAAGGAGTAGATCACCAGATAGCGGTCAAAATTTTCCTTGGAGTAATAAGGACATGTTTCTCGATTATGGAGGTGATAAAGAGTTCGGCGTAAAGGGTTACGTCGATGCAAGCTTTAACACCTATCCGAATGACTCTGAGTATCAAACCGGATACGTATAGTGGAACAACCATTTGGACTAGCTCCAAGTGGAGCATGGAAGCAGCATTTACAATATGACCTAGAGATTTGCGAAGTACATACGGATCTGAATGTTACAGATCCGTTGACTAAAACCTCTCTCACAAGCAGAACATGATCAAACCCCAGAACTCATTGAGTCTTAATCACATGATGATGTGAACTAGTTTAGTGACACTAGTAAACTCTTTGGATGTTGGTCACATGGCGATGTGACCTGTGAATGTTAATCACATAGCGATGTGAACTAGATTATTGACTCTAGTGCAAGTGGGAGACTGTTGGAAATATGCCCTAGAGGCAATAATAAATAAGTTATTATTATATTTCCTTGTTCATGATAATCGTTTATTATCCATGCTATAATTGTATTGATAGGAAACTTAGATACATGTGTGGATACATAGACAACACCATGTCCCTAGTAAGCCTCTAATTGACTAGCTCGTTGATCAACAGATGGTTACGGTTTCCTGACCATGGACATTGGATGTCGTTGATAACGGGATCACATCATTAGGAGAATGATGTGATGGACAAGACCCAATCCTAAGCCTAGCACAAAGATCGTAGTTCGTATGCTAAAGCTTTTCTAATGTCAAGTATCATTTCCTTAGACCATGAGATTGTGCAACTCCCGGATACCGTAGGAATGCTTTGGGTGTACCAAACGTCACAACGTAACTGGGTGGCTATAAAGGTGCACTACAGGTATCTCCGAAAGTGTCTGTTGGGTTGGCACGAATCGAGACTGGGATTTGTCACTCCGTGTAAACAGAGAGGTATCTCTGGGCCCACTCGGTAGGACATCATCATAATGTGCACAATGTGACCAAGGGGTTGATCACGGGATGATGTGTTACGGAATGAGTAAAGAGACTTGCCGGTAACGATATTGAACAAGGTATCGGGATACCGACGATCGAATCTCGGGCAAGTACAATACCGCTAGACAAAGGGAATTGTATACGGGATCGATTGAGTCCTTGACATCGTGGTTCATCCGATGAGATCATCGTGGAACATGTGGGAGCCAACATGGGTATCCAGATCCCGCTGTCGGTTATTGACCGGAGAACGTCTCGGTCATGTCTACATGGTTCCCGAACCCGTAGGGTCTACACACTTAAGGTTCGATGACGCTAGGGCTATAAAGGAAGTTTGTATGTGGTTACCGAATGTTGTTCGGAGTCCCGGATGAGATCCTGGACGTCACGAGGAGTTCCGGAATGGTCCGGAGGTAAAGATTTATATATGGGAAGTCATGTTTTGGTCACCGGAAAAGTTTCGGGTTTTTCCGGTAATGTACCGGGACCACCGGGAGGGTCCCGGGGGTCCACCAAGTGGGGCCACCGGCCCCGGAGGGCTGCATGGGCCAAGTGTGGGAGGGGACCAACCCCAGGTGGGCTGGTGCGCCCCCCCAAAAGGGCCCAAGGCGCCTAGGGTTTGGGGAGGGGGTGCTTTCACCTAACTTGGGGGGCAAGTTTCCCCCCTCTCCCCCTTGGCCGCTACCCTTAGATGAGATTGGGGCTGCCGCACCCCTTGGGGTGGAAACCCTAGAGGGGGCGCACCCCCCTCCCTCTCCCCTATATATAGTTGAGGTCTTGAGGGCTGCCAACACATGAGTTTCTCCCTCTATTGGCGCAGCCCTACCTCTCTTACTCCTCCTCTCCCGTGGTGCTTGGCGAAGCCCTGTAGGATTGCCACGCTCCTCCACCACCACCACGCCGTTGTGCTGCTGCTGGACGGAGTCTTCCTCAACCTCTCCCTCTCTCCTTGCTGGATCAAGGCGTGGGAGACGTCACCGTGCTGTACGTGTGTTGAACGCGGAGGTGTCGTTCGTTCGACACTAGGATCTCCGGTGATTTGGATCACGACGAGTACGACTCCTTCAACCCCGTTCTCTTGAACGCTTCCGCTTAGCGATCTACAAGGGTATGTAGATGCACTCTCCTTCCCCTCGTTGCTAGTCTCTCCATAGATAGATCTTGGTGACTCGTAGGAAAATTTTGAATTTCTGCTACGTTCCCCAACAGTGGGCTAGGGTTCGGTCGCCCAGGGGGTTATGGGGGAGTGTGGGGGGCGGCCTGGGCCGGCCTGGCTAGCAGCTGGGCTGACTGGCCCAGTGGGGGGGTCTCTTTCTCTTTTTTTGCTGGTTTTGTTTTTTTATTCTTTTCTGTTTTATTTTAGTTGCACTTTAAATTACTTAGGCATTTTCTAAAAATGTGTTTACTTCACTACAATTATCTTTGTAATATTCGGCAACCACCGAACATTTTTGTTCTAATTTTTGAAAACTTTTATTGTTAGATTGATTTTGAATTTGAATTGAATCGGTTTCGAACTAACACGAGGTTAGTAACAGTAACCGAGGTAACGTGGCATCGTTAACGCGGGATTACTGTAGCCTAATTATCCGGGCGTCACAGTGTACACACGAGATTTACGAGTTCAGGCTCTTCTCGGAGGAAGTAATAGCCCTACGTCTCGGTGCCCGGAGGCGGTCGATTGGATTATATGCGTGTGATGTTACAGGGGGTGCGAACCCTTGTGCCAGAGGAGGGGGTGGCTTATATAGAGTACGCCAGGACCCTCACCGTCCTCCATTACAAGGGGCTTAATGTACATAAAGTAGGGGCGTTACTGATAACGCCAGCCTTAAGTGCTATTAATGACCTAAAAACTACGGAGTGAACGCCTGCCCGTTGCAATGCTGAGTGACTCTTGATCTTCGGTAGGTCGAGTGACTCCTTGAATGGTCGAGTGACAATAGGTAGGGGGACACCCGAGTGATATGACTGGTCGAGTGGATTGCACTCAACATCTTTGACTGGGGGTCCCTTGTTGCCTCTTGGACTTCTTATCTTCCAGGGTAGTGACCTTGGGTAGGACGTATGGGTCAGGCCCATGACTCTACCCCAGGTTTTTATCCTCATCAGATTGCACTCAACGCATTTATTGGGCACTCCTTGTTGTCTCATGAGCTTCTTTGCTTCTAGGGTAGTGACCTTGGGTAGGACGTATAGGTCAGGCCTATGACCCTACCCCAGGTCTATATCATCATCATCATCCTCGTGGTGGACATGTGTCCTCGGGCTCCGTCGTTGCGATGACGTTTGCTCAAGCGCCGGCGCGGAGCTTGGGAGGTAGTCCAGGAGCGGATGCAGATTGTGGTCTGCATCAACAACATTCTCGTGGTGGACATGTGTCCTCGGACTCCGTCGTTGCGACAACGTTTGCTCCAGCACCGGCGTGGAGCTTGGGAGGTAGTCCAGAAGCGGATGCAGATTGTGGTCTGCATCGGCGGCATCTGAAAGATGTAGGATCGTGTGCCGGGTTTGTGGTACGTGGATGGCAGGTATGGTTTCCTCCTCCGACGTCTTAGTCATGTGGGGGGTGCCATATCTGGAGTTCGATGGCGTGTCCGGAGTGTTGCCCCGGTCTGCTTCGTTCAACGGTAATGGTTTCGGCTTTGGAGAGCCACCTTGGAGGTCCGCAAAGCTGCATATCAGCAATGGAGCAGCGTCGAGCTCGGGTGTAGAGGTGATCCGTCATTTTTTTCCTTAGTGGCTGCTGTTGTGATGCCAGAGGCAGGTGACGAGTGTTGGTGTCAATTTCAGTGGTTTCTTCACTTTTGTTTGTATTTTTACTTTTTAGTTGGTGTTCCTTTGTGCAAAGGCTAGCGTTTTACTATGTATCCAGGTTTGCTAGATCCGTGTGTACGTGACTTGTATTATGATTTTTACTATGATACAAACGATACACGTATTGTCATGCAATAAAAATAAATCGAAACGGTTGTATTTGCGCCAATCGGACGGCCGCGCGGCGTCGCGCGCCGGTCGACTGGCGGAGAGCATTGGCCTCCACCCAATCGGTCCGGCTGACCCAAAAACCCATTTTTGAGTCGTGGCACCCAAATCATCGGCACCGAATCGCAACGCGAGCTGACCTGCTCTGTTTCTCCGCCCCTATGACCTGAGGCGCTACCGAGTGATCCCGGCGCCACGCGCCCCAGCAAAACCACGGCGACCAACTCTGCGCGGGCGCTGATGGTGCCGCCGTCCACCGCGCCGCGGCTCTGCTTCCTCTCTCTGCTCCTCCTCCTCCTCCTAGCCGCAGCCGCTTCTGCCACCGCAGATGCTGCGGCGGCGGAGGAGTTCACTGAGGAGCTGCTCCTCCGGCCGCTCCCGGACCGCAAGGCGCTGGCCCATTTCCACTTCCGCTCCTCCGCGCCTCCCGCCTCCGCCGCCGGCCGACACCACCACCTCTTCCCCAAGGCTATCTCCCAGCTGGTACTTAACCCCCATAGATCCCTCTTCTCAACCATAGAGATCTCTTTCTACCTGCTGTCCTATGGTTTCTGTTCGGGATAGCTCGTGTAATTAGGGACGCAGAAATTAAGCCATCTGGATCCGTAGGCACTCTACTGAGAGTAACACCAGGTGCAGTAACTGCCTCAAAGCTGGTTGCTGTTGAATGTTGATCTATTTCAGGCTTGCAGCTAGGATTAGATTAGGGTATTTATTCTCCTAGTCATAACATCGACTAGCTCAGGCAGTTTCCTGTTCTATTGTGGAAATGATGCAATTAAAATGTCTGTAAAATCTAGGATACCTTAATTTCCAATCGACTTGGCTGGTGCTTCTGTTTGGGCTTTGCAAGAGAGACATGGATAATCTCTAGAACGTAAACTGCCTTAAGTTTAGATCAAAATTTGTCTTGATCAAATCAGGATTATAAAGCACTTGGCAGAGAACAACCTACCTATCTAGTTAACTTTCTAGTTTCATCATGAAAAGTGCTCTTGTCTATCTATGTTTATTTCTCCCTATTTTAGCACCTCAGCTGCTAAAATCCAGGCATTTCCGAACCTCTTCTATTCTGTATGATAATTACACGGTCATGAACTAAGATTATAGGAACCTCCACTGCTCATCTGTTTAATAACTTCCTACTGCCTTGTATGAATGTTTTGGAATTACTGTTAAGATCATTCTGTTCTGTCTAAACCAGGTCCAAAAATTTCATATTAGTGAACTGGAGCTATCTTTCACACAAGGAAGGTGGAATTATGAGCAATGGGGCGGATATGATCCAATGTCAACAAATAATGCAAAGCCCCCTGGTGTTGAGCTGTGGGCAGTTTTCGACCTTCCTTTGGCCGAGATTGATGCCACATGGAAGAACCTGACACACACACTATCAGGACTGTTTTGTGCATCCATCAACTTCTTAGAGTCTTCCACTGCATTTTCTGCTCCTCGTTGGGGATTTAAATTGAATGAAGGCAATCTAAGATATGGGGCATTGCCTCGGGAAGCTGTCTGCACAGAGAATCTAACACCTTGGCTGAAACTTCTACCGTGTCGTGACAAAGCTGGGATAGCTTCTTTGCTGTACAGGCCTTCAGTTTATAAAGGATATTACCATTCACAAAAGCTAAAATTGAAAGCATCACAATCTCTTGGTATTATTCTTGATCAAACACTCACAGTTGTGCTGCAACCAAATACAGTTAGTGGTAAACAGCTACATTCTACTGGTGGACAACTTCAGCCCAGCTGGTCCATGGAACATCTGTTCAGTAAGAAGTTATCAGGGAAATGTCTTGTGTCTAAATCCAGCAGAGTTTTTGTAGAGATTGAGAAAGGCATAGTTGACAATGTTGACAAAGCTGGGTCAGATGTTTCATGGAATAATGATTTATTTGTATTGTCAACTGCCCCAGACAGGTCCCTCAAAGAATTAGATAACTTGGAAGTCCAATCCTCTTCACTATATGAGTATGATGTTAACAACTACAACAATGATAAGCCTTTGAATGTGGGCATAACTTGGAAGCTTCCCTTGATATGGTCTTGCACCCGTGCGCCGTATCATGCAAGTAGATTTCTTATGGGTAGCGGAAATGAAAGAGGCTCAATTGCCATGTCATTTCTATCCACTGGTCTAGATAAGCAACTAGTGGACAGCTCAAATGATTGTTCGATAAAGGCTGTAGTTTTCCAGGTTGTTCCATGGTATGTCAAGGTCTACTATCACAGCCTAGAAGTTTTCATTGATGGGAGTAGCAAGGCTATATCAGAAGTAGTTGACAAGATACATGTCACTCCATCAGAAGACAAGCTTTTGCCTGGTACAATGGAGATGCTTCTTAAGTTTCCTTGCAGCATGCAATTGGCTACTCTTACTTTGGACTTCGACAAGGTGTGCTCTGCTGCTTAAACTACTGAAATTACGTTCCTTTTGGATTTGAAATAAACTTTTTACTCGTATTATACTTTTGACCTTTAGGCCAAGCCTCCACTTGTTGCTTGACCGCCGTTCATTCTGCAGTTAATGATATGCATGCATAACTAAATAATTTCACCGACTTATGTCTATGGTATATGGACCTTTTTTCAGGGGTTCCTACACATAGATGAATACCCTCCTGATGCTAATCAAGGATTTGATATTCCATCAGCTTTGGTTAGCTTTCCTGAGTTCAACTCTAGCCGAAGTTACCCTGAAGCTGATCCATTGTTTGTGTCGCCTTTGCTAGAGAACTTCAAGGTATATGCTGTAGAGATGTTATGGGTTCATCAGTAGTGTCAGGGAAAGAAAAACGCTTACTACGCCGGAGATTTGAAATATTCTGCATTGATTTTTCTCACTGCGGTATGTCTTTATCCTGCAGGAAGATGGTGTTGTGAAGTCGTACACAGAAGTGTTGCTTGTTCCATTGACAACTCCTGATTTTAGCATGCCATACAATGTTATCACCTTCACTTGCACTGTCTTAGCTCTTTATTTTGGCTCACTACTTAATGCTTTGAGACGAAGAATCGGCGAGGAAGAGAGGGGATTGAAGAAAGCAGGTATTTTGAGTACTTGGTTCATGTCATACGTTTTTCTTTTTCATGATGCTGTCAGCTCTTGTTAGGGAATTGCAATTTGCACTGCTTCAGTCTCAATCTCAAATGCTGAGGTGGTCGACGATTTATTTTTTCTGTTGGATCTGAAACCTTGGCACAGCGGTAAAGCTGTTGCTTGTGACCATGAGGTCACGGGTTCGAGTCCTGGAAACAGGCTCTTGCAGAAATGTAGGGAAAGGCTGCATACTATAGACCCAAAGTGGTGGGACCCTTCCCCGGACCCTGCGCAAGCGGGAGCTACGTGCACCGGGCTGCCCTTTTCTATCTGAAATGTTAGCTGGTGGTGCTGTTCTGACACAAGAAATCACTGCGTTGTTGATGATGTATATTTTTTCCCCCAAAACTGAAAACATAGGAGTATGAGCTACTCCCCGCTGTCCCCATTTGTAAGACACCCTGTATCTCTTACATGACGTCTTACAAAAAGGAACGGAGGTACTCCCTCCGTTTGGAATTACTTGTCACAAAAATGGATAAAAATGGATGTATCTATAACTAAAATACATCTAGATACATTCATTTCTTGGACGAGTAATTCCGAACGGAGGGAGTAGTACTAGTTATTATGAGTTCTTTTGGTTATCAATAAACTGAGGATTGGAACAAGGATTGATATTCATGTAAAGATCAATTTTCTGCCAGCAGTACAGATTCAAATGAAACCTGTTGTTTTCCTTCGTTTCATCAACCATACCTAATCTTCTGGATAAACTTTTTTGGGTTTTGCCCTCTCCCCTGCAGAAAGGAATAAATTCTTTTAGGGTTTAGATTATTGGACTCACAGAGCATATGTTGATATAGCATAAAAAATGAAAATTTGAGGATATTTTTCTTCTGTTTACTCTATCATTCTCAAAATTTCGTTGCAATGTTTCCTGTATGTAGCATTGGAACATAAACGATCTTTAAGGTGTCATGGTAGCTTCTGTGTCAAATTTGTGGTTACCTCATGGTGTTGAATCATCCATCGAGTTGCTTCATATTGTTACACAAATGATTTTTTGCTGGCAATTGCTTGACTATTTTGATTCCTTGAATTTGACCTCAACACATCTCACTAGCTTTACTGGTCAGGATTGTAGCTTACCACAGCTTAAACATTTGTCTAACCAATGTCAATTCTGTAACAGATAAGAGACGAGGTCTCATTCCCCTATTGATAGCTAAGCTAAGGGGGCAGAAGGTTGATCCGTTGGAATCAGAATCCACGTCTCCTGCATCTCTGCCGTGGTCAAAGCTACTACTCAAAGTTGTGTTCGTCGCAGTAGTAGCTATTGTGTTCCATTATTTGTCGAACAGTTAGAGGACTAATATTGCTGAGAATTTTGATCAAATCCACGGTGGTAGATCGTATCCTTCTTCTTTTGTAGCATGTATGTATTACCTACATGTACAGGTGCTTGCGCCGGGGCCATCTTTTTTGTGACATCCTTGGTTGTTAAGAAGATTCTGCTCCAGTTGCAGCTTGACACCTTGTACATTTTTGTAGCGTGGCGGTTTGTACCCCTTTCTACAGTTTGACCTACACCTCATTCAGATATTCCGGCCCCTTTACTTATTACAGAGTTTAACTGGCGAGAAATGCATCCCTGTCCTTGTGTCTGCACTAAGCCTGATCATGGGCAGCCCGGCCCTGTCCCACAAACCTGGGCTGGGCTGGGTTGGACTTGTCACTTGAGCCGGGTTTGGGCTTTGTCTTACAGCCTGAAAGGATATCTGGGTGGGCCCAGGCTTCCATTATTCAACATTTTGGGCTGGGCTTAGATGTGTAGAACTAAAATAACAACATTCTTGTCATGCTTTTGGGCTTTGGGCTTGCATTCGGGCTGGGCTTGGGCTCAAGAACATGCATATTTGGGCTTCAGGCCAGGCTTGGGCTTGGGCTTGGAGTATGAGGTTGGGGCTTTTTGAAGCCCAGACCGAAACCCGGCCTGGTGTATGATCAGGTTTAGTTTGCACTTACATTTTTTAGCAACTCTAGCAACCTTCAAAATGTGCATGGAGTGTGGTCCATGATTGTTTTTCAGGCTGCTGACGCGACGCGCAAACTCAGAGTTTGTCATAATGCGGTTTCTTCTTCTTCTTTTTCCTTTGGTTGCATCAACTCAATACTCATAAGTTGGAGGTATTCAACACTTAAATTGACATAACATTGCAATACGATGGTCTTATATATGATACATAATTAATAGACGAGTAGTTCAAAAAATGTTACTTTTACATATATGTAGCAGCTATAGCTTGCATTTTCATGAGCCCGAGTCGATAGCGAATGCTATGCACGGGACATGCACATGTGACGAGTCGGCTGTCGACTAGGTATGGCATTGTGACGGTCCGATGTGGTTCACGTCGGAGTGAGACTGTCGGAGTGAGACTTGTAGGGGACGTGAGCGACATGGTAAACGCAGCCACGGTCCTTGGCGCGAGCTCCCTTTCTGTGTCCATTTCCTTGTTGGTTGTGCCACCTCGAACTCACGCCAAATGGCATGCTCCTCTCCACCGCCAACGATTGCACGATGACGGTCTCCTCGAAGACTTCACCGGGGTGAACGACCTAGGCTTATGCGGCGTAGCGGACATCATATGCCTCCTTAACAATGAGGGGGCGAGAAACTAGTCGTGTCAGGGCATGTGTGCGTCATTGGGCAGACTTTGGCATGGTGTCGGGCGATCTTCAGGCTGGCAAGAGGTGGCCTGTGGTGCACTCCAGCCCGTAGGTCTCAGTGATCCCACTCCTTAGGGACCAGGGCGACATTCTCTTGCGCGTCCTGGTGATCCCACTTCTCTCCTTAGCGATGAGGGCGCCCTCCTCGTCCAGGATCCGTTCCTCCTCCGTGAGCGGCGCCCAATCCAACCATAGGGAAAGCATCATAGTGAAGATGAGGGGAGTGGAGCCAGAGGGGGACGTGGAGAGGGAAATGGAGTTGTGGGCAGTGAGGAGATGAACCGGGACGGGAAACTCCTGCCTTTTATAGCCGTGGGGCGGTGGACGGCGAAAAAATGTGGCAGAGAAATGACATGGGCAGTTGGCCACACGGCAGCGGCCGTCAGTTTGGCCTGTTTTTGTGTGCAGAAGCCTTCTTTGAATGGTGTGATTGTGAAGAGCCTTGCCTTGCCTTGCCATGCCATACCTTCCTGGAGTTAAATCTATAGACTCATTCGAATGGTGTGATTGTGAAGAGCTATTCTTCTCCCCCTCGTGCCGCTGAAAAAAGAACTTTTATCTGAATCAGATGTATATAGACATGTATGTACATTTCAGTCAGTATGTAGCCCATATCGAAATATGCAAAACATCTTATATTGTGAACAGAGGGAGTAATATAGTACTACCTCTGTACACTAATGTAAGACGTTGAACATCTTACATTAGTGTACAGAGGTAGTAAGTTGCATAAACCAACACACGCATCCAGGGAATCTGAAACCTTGCAGTACTTCATTAGTGACCGAACGGCGAGCCAAACTACTTCCAAATGGGAAACATTACCTTTCTTTTTCAAGGTGATGTACTACTAGATAAATAAATAAACTTCAGTCTAGTTCTTTACATCATCCAAGCACACAAATCTGGCTCGAATCTGAATGCAAAGGAAGCAAAAGAACAGCGGTGGCAGCAGCGGCAGTAATCTCTTGATGTGGATCCTTCAGAACTTCAGAACAGCAGTCGTCGCTACTCAGACTCAACCTGCAACAAGGACCAAGGAGCTCCCCAGCACACTTCCATCACAAGAACTGGAAGTACTCGATGCATCTCGACTGGCCGATCGGCAGCAGTGTCCTCGACAGAGCATGACCGCTAGCAGCGCCAGACGAAGCGTCTGTTCCAGCAAGACTGTCGGTCTCCATCTTGACTGGGGCATCGCCTGCCGATGGTGATGTGTCTGTCCACTGAAACTGGTGACCGTAAGCGCCTCTGTCGCTCTGTTGGTTGGTTGTGCTCGCTGGAGACTGCAGTGTGCCCGGCAACATTAGGAATGTCGGCTGCTCGCCGGTGGCATGCGACCCAAAGCAGATGGACACTGCTCTCCTCGAGGACGACTGTTCAGTGGTGTCTGGGGCGCTGCCGATGGGCCTCGAGGTGGTGTTGCAGCTGTGATGGTTGAAGTAAGTGACCGTGAACAATGGTGGGTCGCTCATGTCCTTCTGCTGGACTTGTTTCGTCGCAGGGCACTTCAGGTCAGTCTTGTAGGTACATCTGTAGTAGAACCTGCAAATTGTACAACGCAGATTTAAATTTCCAAGCCCGAAGTAAACAGAAGAAATCTTTGACAAAATATAGGCAGACAATAGTTGCATTCAAGAGCAAATGCATTTCCAGGACTAGTTAGGGAAGTATAGACATACAATAGGTGCATTCGAGAGTGCATGCATTTGGCATGGCTTCTGTGGTGTAGTGTCCCATCTAATGACAGTGCAAGTAATTTTCTTTTTGAGGAAAGTACAAGTAAATTTTGACACCTTTCCTCTGCCAACTTGCCTTATTCTTCTTCACATTTGAGTGCTTTAAGTAAGCAACTAAGCATACATGCATAGAGTAACATTACTTACAACATTCCTATAAAGAAGCACAATTGTTAAATCGTGTGCTTATTTTCACCTCTCCCCCCATCAACATTCAATCTATTAAAATTAGGCCAAAATGTTCCATAGTACCACACGCTTTGGGGACCTTTTATCTACCGCTTTCTAAAAGAAGAAACGTTAACATCTATGAGCAGTCTCTTGATGGACTAACAGGATCGATGTTGGGTCGCATCACGGGCCAACCAGTCTCCAAGGAAGTAAAAGAAGTATTAGCTGGGACCGTCGGCATGATGCTAAAGGTTGCAGACTTGAATCAGGACAAGTGGGCAAAACAAATGAGGAAACTTCTAGCCTGCTAGTGATATATATTAGATTTCAAACGACTTGCAAATGACAGGCAACAAAGGAGGTCCAGTTGCGATTTTTTTATCCATATGGCGAGCCAACACTTTTTTGGATTTTTATTTGTCTTGCTGGGTTGTCAATTACGTAAGAGATAGCCGCTGTGAAGGTCCCTACGCCGATTACATAAACAGTTTTTAGTTGACGTCTTGACGAACATGCCTTTACTTTCCACTTGATTAAGGGCTATGCCGACACTTGTCGCATTCTAGTTCCGCCAAGAAGTAACTAGTGGAAAACCACGCAATATGTTATGTCCACAACAGAGTTTGCTGCAAAGAATCAAATACATTGACCAGACCGCCTGCTAATACACAAACTCTGGGTGCGGTAAGCGGTGATGTGATTTGTGGTACTGATGAAATTTTATTATTCCAAAAAATAAGCTTAATTATTTTGATTTTAATATCTGGCCCATTCACAAGCTGCATACAAAGAAATGTCTCTATTTCTATGTATAATGTTATAGAAACTAAAGATTACTAGTCAATAAACATGTTCTCCACCTATAGTAGACTAAAAAGATTCCTGCATGCATATTGGCTAATTTTCTTGATATAGCGAGCTAGGAATTCTTCCTGTTAGAAAAAGGAGTAGAAGGTCCAGGACCCCCCCAAAATGTTCCAGATCAACACACGCCCTCAGTAAATTCACCCAATTTCAGTCCCTGCTAATTCACCAGTAGATCTACCAACACCTAGAAACCAACCGTTCTACTTGAAATTACTTGACCACACACAGGCAACACATGCATGAACGGGAATAGGAAAAATATGGAGCTTGGGGGAATGGAGTGAATCGGCCAAGAACAAGAAGCAGACCTCGGGAAGTTGGAGTTGGAGAGCTTCTTCTCGCCGTACTTCCTCCACTGATGCCCGTCGTCGTACGGCGCGTAGGTGTCCGCCGTCCACGTCCGCTCCTCCTTCCTGGCGTCGCCACGCACAGCAACGGCAAGAGCAGAAAAAGGAAAATCAAGAAACTGAAGCGCAAAGCATCGACCTTCTGCTGCGAGAAATTAGCAGGGCAAACTGCGGGAGCGTACCGGATTCTTTGCTGGGTCCTGGTTGCCCTGCCGCTGGATCCCAGGTCGCTGGGGTAGGAAGGGACGGAGTCCAGGGCCATGGCGGTCGGTCGGAGAAGGAGAAGAGAAGCGAGGAGAGAGGAGGGAGAGGCCTTGGGATTTTGTGGGCCGGCGGTGGAGAAGGGCGACGTTTCTGCTGGGGCCTTCCTCGGTCTCTCTGACTAGCTTTATTTATAGCATTAAACAACGACGGCGCGGGGAGGAGCATTCTTCAACGTTAACACGCGTCGCCCCCTCTCCCATGCTTCCCCTTCCCTTAACGGCGCTTATTACTCCCCACCCCCATCCAG